ATGTGATCACTTCTAAGGCTTCAGATAAAACATCTGACAAAACTCAATCCCTATTTAAAATGTTGCATTATCTAGATTTTCTGTTGCGGGACACAATACCGGATATCTATTACTTAAAAGAGAAGAAGTTAAATTTGGCTCATATTTTAAAGAATTGTAGCTTATGATCAGCTAGTTTCAAGTTAGAAACATGATGAAAGAGCATGGCACAGTGAAGCTGCCAAGTTCATGGTGGCTGGGAAACAAAGCAGGAAACACTGCCAGACAGGAAGGCCTTGGGGAGCCGATAAAATACACACATTTGAGTCGGGAGACCTTGGGGGGATGGCAGCACGGCTGGGGCAGTTGGCTGTGACCTGTAAATTGCAGAGACTTGTTAACCACTGAGACACAGGTGCAGACCAGCAGCTCCCAGGCCCGGCATCTGATAATAACTTTCTGGCATGAGATCAAGCAGGTTTCTGACGGAACGACCTGGATGTAACATCAGAAAGAAGATAGAAAAGCAGCAGCCGTTGACTTCACCACCACTGTGCTCTTGTTCATGACATGGCCCATCCTATATACAGGGTCTGTCTTCTCTTTTTCTTTCAGAGCATCATCACTTCTTGTTTCTTCTGTTTTTCACTAAAACAAATGGTAACCTGTTACATTCTCCAGTAGTTCTGTCCAATTCTCTGTATAGGAGACTAAGAGTTTGGAAAGCTAGTCACTACAAATCTGGAAACAGATTCATGTGTTACTCATCCAGACACAACCACAAGTGTGCATCACAAATCCACTGGGCAGATCCCAAGCCAGCCAAGTTGTGCACTTGAGCTTAATCACCATAAATATAAAATCTCTGAAAACTAAAGCTAGAAAGAAACTTTCTTAACCTAATATAAAACCCTCAATTTGAATAAGATAGACTGAACTTCCTATACCTGATTCGAGTGATGTGACCTTACTTTAAAATAGAGTATTTGTATATGTAATTAAATTAAATTTAGATCACAATATGTTAGAGTGGACCATAAAGGCAATAATCAATACAATTGTAAGACGATCCTGTGAGACACGCACAGAGACCATGATTCTATGAGGATGGAGGCAGAAATAGAGTAAAAGAAGGCCAAGGAGAGGCACAGCTACACAGACACTGTGAAGAGGCAAGGAAGGATCCTCTTCTAGAACATTCGGACAGAAAATACTTGTGCTGATATTTTCAAATCTCCAAACTCCAGGCTTTGAGAGGACAAATTCTTGTTGGTTTAAGCCACCCAGTTTGTGAACATTTGTTCCAGGCAGCCCTGGAAAACTAATACCACATCTATGAAAAAACTAGAGCTACGCCATATTTAATGGCTTAAGTACAAACATCTTCCCTTTAAAACGGGGAAGCAGGCAAAGATGTCTGCATTAATCTCCTCCAATTATCAAAGTATTGGAAATCCTATGTAAGACAGTAAGGCAAGAAAAAGTCATAAAAGCTTATGAATTGAAGCAGTAGGAAAACACTATTTAATTACTCACAATATAATTGTACTTATAGAAAATCCTAAGGATTATCAAGAAGAACATGTAGATGTGGAAAAGCAGTGTAGTAGGTATATGGTACGACTGTATCATGTTACCCTTTCCCACTAAATGTGGCAATAATCTATTACTATCATGTCATAATTCAAATGATTATGTTATATGGCAAAAGTCATTTTACATATACAGTTGAGATCCAAAACCAGTAAAGAGATTGTTCCAGTAGAACATGACTTAACCACACAATCTGATAAAATCTTATGGACTCTTTCTCATCAGGGATATTAAATCTTAAAATGATTCAAAGGGAATTTTAAGTAGAAAGTGCCACATAACAAGGAATGAATGTTTGCTTTGGGAAATCGTTACATTCTTATAAGTATCTTGATCATTTTCAATCTTTTTACCCCTCCTCTCTCTTTCCCCCACCCCTAGGGATTTACCTATGGCACCAAAAGTATACCAATGGGCTGCCTGTGCATCCCTAATGCCCCTCAGGCACCACTCCTAACCTAAGCTGCATGTATGCCTCCACTCCACATGTTCCACAGAGAGATCGCAGACCCCGAGTGGAGATGCCACGCCCCAGGGCGTCGGGGGTGTCTCTCCTTGTATTCTCAAAATAAAGGTCATTTATATTTCATACTTCTTATCTTTTCAGCCACTGCTGGTCCCCCACAGTTCTATCACTAATGTTTTATAGTGTATAAATATATATGTTTATAATATGCATTATATATATATAATTTCCTTATTAGAGAAAACAGTAGATATTTAACTTTCTAAATCTGGCTTATATCATTTAACATGACATAATATGATGATCTCCTGTTCCTTTCTTTTTACTGCAAACGACATGATTGCATTCTTCTTTACAGGTAAATAATATTTCACTTGTTCATGAGACACATTTTTGTTGTCTTTGCTTCTGATTTGTTATCTCTGCACTGTTTCCATAGTTTAGCTGCTGTGACTTGAGCCACTATGAACAAGATTATACATGTATCACTGTAACATCCTGTCTTACATTGTTTGGGGAATATACCCAGGAGCGATAGGGCCGTATCATATGGTATTTGAATTTTTACCTTTTTAGGAATCATCTTGCAGGTTTCCGTAGCACCTTTACTAGTTCACATTCCCACCAAGAATGTCAGAGGAGCCTATTTTCCCACCCATCCTTGCCAGCTTCCGTGGTGTTTCGTATACTTCATGGCAGTCATTCTGGCTGGGCTGAGATGGAATCTCAGTGTAATTCTGATTTGCATTTCCGTAGTAGTAAAAGATGTCATTGGTCACTTTTGCTTCTTCTTTTAAGAAGTTTCTTTTCGGCTTAGGATGCTTTGTTCACAGACTGATTGTATATGATTTAGATGTAATGAAGGAAAGCTCAAATTTTTCTCAAATGAAATTTGAGACATTTAAGACGAAGTTAAACTTGCAAATGTGATTTCAAAATCTTTTTTAAAGGTGTCTTTTTTCTGTTAACCTTTTTTCTTTTCTGTGAGCTCCTTGCTTTGCTAATAATCATTAGTGTGGTGTTTTGAAATTGTAGGGCCTGGTAAAGAAAAACGAATTTTGCAGCTTTCATGTTCTTTCAACTCACAGCCCAGTGGGTAATTTTCTGGGGAATTACTATGTACTATTTTAAAAATATGCATTAATTGATCAGACTTCTTAACCTAAAATCATTCTGAATCTACTAATTAGTCAAGGTGAAACTTTTAACACATTGAATTACTCTTACTGAATTTTAATATTACCGAGTCCAATTATTTTAATGAACACATTCACTGTAATATCTCTGCAGTTCCTTAAAAATCTGCTTAAATTTGTTAATCCTACTCTTACACTGAAAGGACGTGAGATGTTTTATAATTCATGTTTTCAGTCTATCATTGGGAAGCTTCAAGGCAGCAACCTAGTAGAAGAATGGTTTGGAGGAGGACAGATGCTCAACTCATGATGGCACAAAAGTACAGATGCAAAGGAAGAGCCAAGTAAGAAACGTACCCTTCTAGGGCATGTTCCAAGTGACCTGCCCCTAATAAGGATCCACCACCTAACAAGCATAAATTCATCAGTGAGCTAAAAATGATTCTTATTGAAGTAAAGATTTAGCTGGCACCTTGATTTTCCAATCTCCAAGAATTGTGAGAAAAAATATCTACCATTAAAGCTATGTAGTCTATTGTATTGTTATAGGACACCTGCAACTTAAAGAAGTTTAATTTGGCTCTTGTGTCCAATAGTTCCCACCCACGCTGGAGGATATCTCCAAGGTGAAGAACATGAGAGAGTAGAGCTGTTTAGTTGGTGACAGCTGTGAGACAGAGAAGAGCAACAGTGTCAGAGACAAAGGATCATAAATAACCTCTAAAGTCACATTTCCGTGATGTACCTAGACAACACATTCAGTAATATGCTTTACTAATCTATTGCTTAATTCTGTCACATTGATATATTATGATTAATGGCTACACTGGGCAAGATTCATTTTACGTGACTGCAAACAGAACTATCTTCTATTCCCATTAGTGATTATTTTATCTCTTAACTACCCCCTTATAACTCCAAAAACCTCAACTTTATCACTCATAGTTGATGACTTCAACTTTTATTTATAGATTAAATTATGGTGAGAAGATATGAATTATCTCCATTTCAGGATGCTGGCAAGGCATGTAGAGAAGACCTAGGGGGAAGGTGCTTTTCACGACCTTTATTGGTAGAAATGACTTGATTTAAAAATGAAGTGTATTAAACAGGCAGTGGTGACACATGGTACAGGGCCCAAATTTTGTAAGTAAGGCTCATAACAAAACATCTGTCATCGCTGGAAATAGGATTCTAATTTTTTTTCTGACAAAAATAAGGATCTTGGGCCAGGGATAGCAAGACAAAATCCTTTTTGTCTGGAATGAATCTAAAAAAGGGCTCCACTAGAGAAGAGATGGAAGATGGAGACTAGTGGCTGAATGATGAATAACTGATTTGGAATGGCAAAAAGGACCTCAATCTGTTTGAAGTTGTAGTGTATGACTCTGTCAGTATACTGAGGTCTGTTGAATCCTAAATTTTAAGTTTACGAATTATGTGATGTGCAGACTTTTGGTTTAATAAAGCTGATTTATTAAAAAAATGTTTAAAGGTACAACTAAGTAAACATATCAGATTACCAGCTGAATATTAGAACCAGTTAGAGTTAGACAGGGATGTAATGTTTACTAGAATTTAAAGGTATGATTTGCAATTGGTAAACCCAGTGGAAACTATTGACTTTATATTTATCAATTAGCTTGACATTTGAAATTATGTAACTTTTTCCAAATTATATCAAATAGCACAAATTATGTTTGGTTAGTGGCAAACGGAAATAGAAACAAAGAATAAGAAAAAAGTCTTATTACTAAAGGATTTCAAGACAGGAAAAATAATTATTTTGCTATATGCACAACTTTTATTGATATACTCATAGTACATTGTCAAATTTCAATAAAACCTTCCACTGTAACACTGAATTTATAATCACATATGCAGTTTGCTTTGTCACTATTCAATAGATAATTTTTTAAATATTAGGAAATATTTTTCTTGATTACAATAATTACAATTATTTTAAAACATAATCTAATGTGTTTTATAACCTATTATAAAGCAACAATCAATATTATAAATTTAGTTCCATTTTCAGGTCAGAAGATGATCTTCTATTATATCATTTCCCCAATGTTCAGACTTTTAGTTACTTTAGAATTGAGTGTGACATGAATAGAATTCCAAGAAGCTTTGAGGTTTGAGAACTAAATTAGGGAATTTTCACCAGAGCAATGTTTTATAAAACTTGGCAAATGTTAAACATAAGCTGTCTGCAAGATGTATTCAGTCTTGAGAAACAGCTTTTGAATATTCAAGTAGTTTTACTTGTCAGGTAAGAACCATATGAAATCTGTTGGTTAAGCAGATAATTTTTCAGTACTCAGCTAACTGCACACAAAATTTTACACAAAGTGTATTTGGAAACTTCTACTATCAATTTGACATACTGCATTACATACACCATTGTCACTGAGTTATCCCAGTGCTATGTATTTTGTCAGTTTTAACTAACAGCATACAAACAAGAATGGCATGACCCCAATGTTAAATGAGATTACTTAAGAGCATACACAGTTTGTCATTTACCTTTTTCAGTATTCTTTACATTTCACAGAAGGCAGCATACAATTAGTGCAAGGAAAGCCACAATATTTCATTACTAATTATTGAACACACTGCTTAAAAAAGACCAGTTCAAATAAATTAATTTTTCCAAGCTATGTACATTCTTATTAACAACAACAAAAAAACTTCAGATAAAATGCTTTTTATTTGTTTCTCCAAAATAGTCAAAATCAAACCCCACCTGTGCCTCTCATTGGCTATTGGACTTTGAACCAATTTAATTATGTACAAAACAAAAGTGTCTGAATAAATGATTATTAGAGTCTGTATTTTTTGGCAAGAGATTTGCTTTCTAGCCACCCTGTGTGAGAAAATTATTCTTTTCTAATTATATTTAAATAATTACACCTAGAAAGCAAGTAATCTCAAAAAGAGAAAAGCATTTCTTACTAAGATCTAATTGACTTTATTCATCAAAAAAACTTTACATCTTTTAATTTATCTTTTGGAAGAAAGCAGAGAATCCTGGGCTTGGTTAAAGTGCATGTGATTAAACAAGCAGCTACAAATAACAGGGGAGATGCAAATTATCTTTTCTTTGTAAATTAACACATGTCGCAGATTTTTCTCTGTAAAGTGAAATTTTATATCACAGATTTTTTTTTTTTGTACCATAGATCAAACTTATGACCTCACACTTGCCAGGAAGGCACTTGTGCAACTGAGTTAAATCCCTAGTCCCTATCAAATTAATCAAATTTGATTAGCATCATGAAATAAAAGGAATAGGAAATAAAACAATTGAATTTTTACCAGTTCTCGAGAAGAAGCATAAGACAGGTTTTTGCCCAAACAAGAGTTTTCTTTCAGATAAATATTCAATGCATCCCACACATATGGCCTTCAAACGCATACAAAACTTGAGAAAAACTCTGCTTTTTTATTTTAAAGGGAGTAAAACAACAGTAAAATGAAACAAAACAATAATAGGACAGGAAATCCACAATTACTACTGTATTACACATTGTTATCCTTTAAATAGTCATCTAGACTGATGGCCACAGGCCTGCAAAGTCAATCAGACAACATAAATGTCAGGGTGCTTCCCTCCTTCAGTTACATCAGGTATTATCATCTCAGCCTGCACTGTGACGGCTGCTTAAGGGTCAGTGGGGAGGGGGAGGCGGAGATAGCCTCTGCTGCTCTCTCTGGCTGACAAGTCTTCTTCCAGCACACAGGGCAGCTGCTTGGCGTCTTTGATGCCTCTCCCCGGGCCAGCAGGGCCCCCTCGCCACACAGAGAGGTTGCATGGCTTCCTGGTGATCCTCCTTATTTACTTAACCTAGTGTTACATAAAACAGAAAGCTTCTGTCAAAAATAGTAATAATATTCTTTCTTTCCTCATCCCAATGTGCTAGCAAATCCTGAAAGCAGAGTATCAAAAACAAAATTATAATACATTTAGTAAACTGATATTATTGGCTTTTCTTTATGATTCTGAAAGTGGACAACAGCTCACTGTGTAAATTAAAGTGAAGGCTCCACTGAAAATGACAGAATTGGCTTTTGTGAGGTGATACAAAACGGGACAAAAAGAAATGGAAGTTGGTTACTGCTAAAGTTAATACTGGCATTTTTTGGTAAGATATAAGGCACAAGGAATTTCCTTATTACTTTGATTCATGTAACCTGAGATATTTCTCATTGGTTGCTGAGTCATTTTAAAAACAAACTTAGGTGTTTTCAAATTCACATGTTTCACTTGGAATGACCTCATGATTTTGAATCATTGTTGTCTGTTTGGGCCTGACATGGAGACTAATCCAAAACAATGACTTCCATAACAGGAGAAATTTAATATGTCTTTTATAATTGAGATATAATAATAACTGCAGGAAATAAAGAATTGGACTTTTGAGGATTTTTTGTGGGGTCCTCAGTTCATAATGTAGTATTTTTAAGTAAAGATGAATTTTATGAAGATATTGTTGGTGACAGTTTTCAATGTACTTTGGCAGATAGATTATGGTTTTCAAATCAGAAGTCTTTCTTAATCCTTAATAAATTGAAAGTTATTAATTTTAGTTCAGAACCTCTGGGTCAGATATAAAAATAAAATAGAGGGTTGCTAAAACCTAGTGGACCCTAAAATAGTATTTGCATTTAAATAGTTCATGTGTACTTTCAGAGAAGTATCATTTGAGATACTTAAGATACAATGACAAAGTAGGTTTTGAACTTTTTGCACCTTTAGCAGTGGACTCACTATCTTAATAGAATAAATGTTAAAACAATAAAAAATAAAAAGATACATTTATTATTTGTCTGTAATAGTTGTGGCTTGTCCTCCCAAAGCTTCAAATCATAGATGGAGCTTTGCAGAGGTGGCTGTTTTTAGAGTGTGTGGTGCTGGGATTGATTCATGGTACGGTGCTAGGATTAGGGGGTGTTTCACCCTGGGTGTGAGTGCTACCTGCTCTTAAAATAGAATGCACAGGACAAAAAGACTGCTGGTACTTTGCTTGTTTCTGCACTTCTTTGCTGCCTGTGCCTACCATGAACTGTTTTTCCTCTACAACTCCCCTCTCCCATGCCATCCCGCATTAGAGTCAGACAACTATGGACTGAAACTTCTACAAACTGAGAGCTGAAATAAACTTTTTCTCTTTTAATTTCAGGTGTCAGGTATTTTGGCTTGCAAGGAGAAAAACACTAAGACAATAATAATAATAATAATAATAATAATAATAAATGTTATCACTATGTGTAACAGTTTGCCTACATTGCTGTGTCATTCTTAGCATTTGAGATATGATTAGTATTTCAGATATGATTGCTCTTCTTGAAATAGAAGTTGTCAAAAGCATACTGAAAGTAAATAGTGAGAATTGCGATTTGATATTTCTCTGATGCAAAGGTCAGTATTCTTTTCCTCTGTGCTATAAATATCTATAGTAACATCCATAAAACCTAGGAAGCCTAATGTCTAGAAGTACAAAGTTTGTTCACCTTATTACCTAATGTTCTTCATGTGAGCTAGCTACTATCTCCTTCATTTTCTTGGCCTGAAAAATGATGACAAATAGTTCTTTCCTATGTTATAGGCATGCACAGTGAATTTCTTTAGCTTACTTTGAAGCCTTTTCTAAGAATTAATGGAAATTTTATTCTATAAATAAGATGGTATTTTGAGGGTTATTTTTCCTTTCATGGAGAGAATCTTTAGTTGCTTACAATTGAAGTTCAAATCCCCTTGCAGTTCAATATGCTATGCTTAGACATATTTCCTGCTGAGTTCAGAATTACTTGGATGGAGAATTTCATCTGAAGATGAGACGTGAATTTGGTACTTTATAAAATTCTATGCAGGCTCAAAAGACACTTATTATCAATCAGTCTTGTCAGTATGTGTGTCTCAGTGCTATTCTTATAGTCTTTCTTGATGTTACCTCTCATTTTTTACTTTACCTGTGTATTAATTGTATATGAAAATTATATCCAGGAGAGTTATTAATAATGTGGCATAATTTTGTTAATTTAGAAATGCCAATATTTAACTAAGTTTAAGCTTTAAAAATTCAATAAGCAAATCTAAGAATTAATAAGAGGAAATGTATTGGCAAACATGGTGATTCTAAACCAGGATATGGCCCATGTAGGCTGTTTTCTACTACAATAACATACTAAGATCTACATACCAATGGACCAGCATACAAAATTCATTTCTTGCTCACACTGCACATTCACTAGGATGGATGGTAGGCACTTTCCACTACTACATTATCAGACAGGAACACAGGCTCATTGAGGATCCAGTATCCTATAGTTGCTCCATCTGGAAACTCAGTAATCTTGTTTATAGTGTGGCAAGGCACAGGGAAACTGGAGAATCTTTCATGAACTTTTTACTGTTTCAGGCCTGAATCACCCTAGGGTGGAACTAATCACAGCTGGCAAGAACTGGGTGAGTCTCTTTCCTTTTTCCCTCTTGCCTGAGTGATTTATCCCCTATGTTGCAGGCATTTCCCCTTTTGAAGCTCTGTGTAGGAGTCCTCCTCCCTTTATTCCTAAGATTTCTGAGAAAAATTAGTTGATCTGGCTAATCAAGATCTTGTTAAGTCCTTCTAGGTGCTTCAGCTAGTTATGACTTGCATCCACCAGTTATTCTGACAACATCCTCCACATGCAGTCCACTCTGAGGATGAACACCCTGTGATGGAACCTGGGACACTAGTCCTCACCAACAGACATTACCGTGAATTTCTTGGTGAGAAGGCCCCTACACCGTGGTCCTCAGCACTCTGACTATTGCCGTCAAAGTCACTGGAAAACCTGCCTGGATTCATCATTCCCACTTCAAGCCGGTGCCAGATTCCAACAGCGATCAACCTACAGATAAGTGGACTGTTGTTCCCTCCAAAGATTCTTTAAAGCTTAAAATTGCCAAATGTATCCAATAATCTTGTTCTTATGTGTTCTTCCTTATGGAGACCCCAAGGAGATACCTCATAACCCACTATTTGGAATTTGGAAAATTACTATTCACTGATGAATTATTGGTAGCCAATGCTACTGTCCATGGGATAATTAAGATAGATTTGTGTGCCCTATTAGATAACATACCAGAAAAAATTAGACAGAAGAGAATGTTATTGGGTCAGTATTTCCTACTGCATGGTTAGTTGCTAATGAAACCAACTGAGCCTTGCAGGGACTTATGTAGTCAAAAGGAATTACAGTCCACTGGCTGGTATCTTTGCCACCAAAAGCAACAGCCAGCCTCTGATCACACTGATTGCACTAGTAGGTGTTCACAGTCCATAGAGACAGAATATTTTTGTAGACATTGGGGTTGTGAATCTATTATCTCCTTGGCAGGGAAACAAAGGGGCTTGTTACCTTTTCCTTACATGGGAGACCCCATCTTCCTGCACCCTCAACTGATGTAATTTTATGACTTTCAGACCCAAAATCCCAACCAATCCTGTTTGGAAAGCAGGATTACATTATGGTTTTAGGTTATGGGTCTCCAGATATGACCTGGAAAGCACCTTTACCTTTCAATTCATTCCTGGGCCTGTTCGGACAGCCCCCACCAGGCTCATAGGCCCTCAGGTTCCCCAGCCACCTCAATCTCTTCCTGTCACTCATCTTCCACCCTCCTCCACTAGATTTCCTGCTCCTGAGACCTTTTTGCCCTCTCCTATTTCTGCACCATCCCTAGACCCCTTCTTGCCTCTGGACATTGCTTACGAGTTTTTCAATCTTAGTGCCCCAAACTTCACTGCTGACTGTTGGCTATGCCTTCCATCTCAACTTCTCTTCTATATGGGCACCCCTGTGACTATTATGGAAAATCAACTTTTAAATTCCTCTGCAGATGACACCACTTGTTGGTGGGGTGCTAGGCCCCTGCTCACACTGGACAATATATAGGGTACTCTACCTCCTACTCCTTGCACACTTCCCCTTATGCTGCACTCTGTAATCTTACCTCTTCAGCCTTGATTCATAATTTTTCTTACCCTGCTAATCAGCACCTTGTTGCTCCCAATGAAACCTGGTTTGCTTGTACTTCTGGTATAACTCTTTGTTCCATGCATCACCTGTTCACCCAGTGCCCTGAGCTTTGCATATTAGTTCATTCCCCAAGTGTATTGGTACTCTGCAGATAATGGTAAGAGTCATTTGTTCCCTAGTTTTGACTTAAAGATTCCTTCCAGTCTGAGTGAAGAGAAATCCTGTACTCTTACCTGTAATACTGGGAATTGGGGTGGCAGGGTCAATAGGATTAGGAGTGTCCAGCCTAATAATTGGAGATCAAAATTATAGACACTTAAATACACTCATTGACCAAGAACTAGCAGTCCTTAGTGACTCTGTCTCCAAATTAGATGATTCTTTAAGTTCACTGGCTGAGACGGTTTTACAAAACCGGCAGGGTCTAGATCTCCTGTTTCTAAAGGAAGGAGCCCTCTGTCTGGCATTAGGAGAAAAGTTTTTGCTTGTATGCCAGTTATTTTGGGGTTATCCGACAAAGAATGGCCAGCCTTAAAAGGTGACTACAGGAATGAGAACAAAACAGACAAGCTAAACAGAATTGGTTTGAACAATGGTTTTCTCTATATCCCTGGTTAAGAACATTAATCACAGCAGCCTCTGGATCTCTGTTAATCTTAATTACTTGTTTAACAATTGGACCTTGCACTATACCCAAATTGGTAAATTATGTCAAAGATCAGGTTCAAACTCTAAAACTCATGAGTTTTAAGTACACAAGTTTATGAACAAATACCTCTGCTTGAAAACTCCATGAGCCCATGATTTAGATCACTGACAAAAATCAGTGGGGAATGTTGTACTAAAATGCTAAAAAACTAAAATGCAAAGTTAAAAAGATAATTATTAGCAAAAATAGTTAAAAAGATAGTTATTAGCAGTATTGTCATTCTGTGCTGTGCTTGTTACCCTAGTAACCATGAAGCAACCATATAGTTATAGATTAACTAACTGTGTCATCATGCTGTTCTGTATCCATTGTCCCCTGAGTCACCAGTTTGCTGTGTCAACCTTTGTTCCTTTTGTAAGAGACAAATGATGCTGTGTCAACCATTGTTCCATTTGTGAGAGACAAATGTTTCTGGAATTGGCAGACCAAGGGCTATGAATTGGCTAACCACCCATTGTGAAATGCCTCTGACCTCAAGCAAAGGGGAACAAAGGCCCACCTTGTTTTCTGTTTCTCATCACTATGTACTTAAGTGGTCAATGTGGTAATCATACATGAACTAGAAAAATCTGTCAAAATTTTAACCCATTTACACAGCTTTGCAAACTCCATCTGCACTGTGTTGCTGGTGCCAGCTTATAAAAGTGTTTCTTTTTAAAAGACGTCTTGCTGCCCTGTTTTTTTTTTTTTTAATAACATCATGGGGCCTTGTTTTTTGGGGACACAACAGAAATAAGCAGAAATTTTCTCTTCCATGACACACTTTGTTCTCAGATTAAAATAACTACCAGTTCTTAATCACAACATTATCATGTTTTTTTCTAGTACTGAAAGGAAATTATCAGTTATTAATTATCCTAGAAAAAACGATGTGACATAGAAGAAAAGATTTAGTCAAATGGTGTGAGGTAGATAACAACAAACTAGATCACCAATACAAATTTACAAAGTATTCTTTTACTTACTTTTACTGAATTGTTCACAAACAGAAATGTTCTGTGAACCACAGTCCACTGTATAGGTGTCAATATATAGACATCAGATGCTTGTAGTAATCTGTGAAATATCAGGATAACAATGAATTAAAGACATTCTTCAATGACAAAAAGTAGTAAAAATATTTAAATTAGTAAATGCAGTATTTGGGGATTTTTTAGAAAAGAAAAACCTTGAAAGTGGTTTTTATAGTAAATGTCAAGATTTATTATAGACCTGTGATAACTTAAAATTATGATTTCTGTGGAAGAACTTATAAGTAGACCATTAGAATAGAATAGAAATATATCTGCACTTTTAAGGCATACTTGATTGGTGACAAAAATAGTAGTGCAGGGTGCCAAGGGATTACCTCAGGGGAATAAACACCTAACTGGCAAGTGTAAGGTCATGAGTTTGATCTCCAGTACAAATATATCACTTCATATAGCAGGAAAGTAGCAAAAAATACATTGAACTATACTACAATTGATCAAATACCCACCTAAGGAAAAATAAACTTGAAGAGTCCTCTCATAGTCTACTAGTAAATATACTACTTATAAACCCATAAGGATTTAAAAGTTAAATATGAAGGGCAGTAAACAATAAAGCTTCCAGAGAATAATCTAACAGACTACTTTTAATGGTATCAAGGTAGAGATAAATTTTTTAGGACAAAAAAGTAAATATATGTGATATCACTTATTTAAAGGTAGAGATAAATTTTTTAGGAGAAAAAGTTGATGAATTTAACTACATCAAAACAACAAAGTTCTTTATATTTGAGATACCTTTAAGAGAGAGATGTTGGTCATCAAATGAAAGAAGACAATAAATATAAGAAAGTAGGTTCACTATATTAAAATCATCAGGAAAACGCAATTTAAAATCACAGTGTTATTTAAGTACCTATCAACTGGAATGGTTAAAAATAAAAAGGCTGACAATACAAAATGCTTGTGTGAATATGGAAGAATGGAAAGTTTCACTCATGACTGACAAGTATAAGCTGGTAGAACTATTAGAAAACTCTCAGACATCATCTACAAATGTAGAAAACACATAAAATGCAAGACATAGAAACTCTTCAGGGAAGTATCCACTCAACCAAAATAAAACACCTGTTCCAGGAAACAAGTGTATGTATTATTCCCCCAAAAAAGAAAAAATTTTACACACTCTTCATTAATAGATATTTAATGTCACTCACATACACATATATGAGAGTATAAAGTACTGATAACAGTCATCTACAGAAATAGTAGATGAACTTTAAAAATATAAACTAAAGAAACATACATAAAATCATAAAATAATCATATATGTGATATCACTTATTTAAAAATTTATAAAAGTCAAAATTAAATTGTGGTGCTTATTGATTCACATGATGTAAAATTATAACTAAGTGCAAAGACATGATTACCACTGAAGTTGGGAATGTGATAGGGGTTTTTTGTTTGTTTTGGGCCGTAAAAGCAGGAAGCAGGAGAAGCTATGAGCCAGGTATTTCTAGCTGCTGCTCAAGTTCTATTTCTTGACCTGTTTGGTAATAAATTATTCAGCACTATATTTATACTTTGTATATTTTCTATTATTGGATAAAAATCTTTAAATTATTTAAAACTCATAATTAATGAAAAAAAAAACTCATGAGTAAGTGTGGTCAACACTTGTATTATATTTAAAAGTTTATATGGAAGCCTGAAAACTTGAGTAACCACTGGTGGCCTGTGTTCCATACCTTCTTTCCTTTTTTAGGGCCTTTGTTTCATCCTCTGTTTTCTAATTATTTTCTCTTGTAGAATAGGTCATTCTCAGAAATCTAAAAAAATATTTCTTTTTATTTAAAAATGAACACAAACCACATACCACGTACCACACACCACACCGAGACCACATATCACATACCACAAACTCTGTGGCATAGGCTAAAAGTTGGTGTCTTTCCACAACTCATGCTGGAAACTAATGCTGAATGTGATAGTATTAGAGGAAAGTTATCTTAGTTACTTTCTCACCACTGAGACCTAAAACCTGACATCTACAATTTAAAGGAGAGGTTTATTTTTGCTCACAATTTGAAAAAATTTCAGTCCATAGTTGACTGGATCCGAGGCAAGGCTGTATGACAGAAAGGCATAGCAGGAAGGAGTCAGCCATACAGATACCCTTCTAGGCCACACCCACAGTGGCCCATCCTTTCCTTTTACTAGATTTCACCTCTAAACATCACACACAGCAAGACACGCATCAGTGGACTAACCAGTATCACACCTCCATGACCCAGTCACCTCCCTAAAGCTCCAACTACGAGGGCATGATGGCCTTTGTGGAACACCTAGATATAAGGAAGACAGAGAGCTTTTGGGTACGTGATTTTAAACCGTGAGAGATTCACTTTCACCTGTGTCAGTGGCCATGTTAAAGAAGTTTAAAGAAGTATCCTTCTCCTTTCTCCATGTGAGGACACATAGAAGTCACCAAGGTGACCCATAATAGACAGCAGGTCTTCTGACACATTGACCTTGGATTATCCAATTTCTTGAACTGTAGGAAATTATCTTTTTGCTTATAACAAATTAGTATTAGTGATAGAATCCTGAAAGACAAGATGTTTTCATTTTTTTTTCAATTCAAAGAAAAATTTTTGAAAATTGTCTACATTTGCTGTCTCTAGTTTTCCTGCCTTATTCTTGAAATATTCTTATTCTTCCTTTCCTTATTCCTTGAACTCATTACAAGAAGGTCTTTAATCTCTATTCCACAACTTTTCTTGTACCTTACACCTAGTACCTAGCACCTCACACAATTTCTTAATCTCTAAACTTTTCTTATTCAACCTATTAACTACATTAGTTAGAGCTGGTTGATCACACTCTCATATTTGAAGCTTCGCTCTACTTGGCATCTCAGATGTCCCTTTTTTTTTGCCCTATTGAGTTTTCAGTGATAAGCCTGGGGCCATTATGTTTGAACATTTGACCAACAAATGTTCTTGTTAATTTAATGCTCAAAATGTTTTGTCACTTTAGAAATTGCAATTTATATTTTGTTCTCTTTCTATATTATATTATTATAACAAATTAAAAACAAGAATTGTTTTAATGGTGCAGTTAAATTGTGCATCATCTTATGACCTGTCCCATTTCCACGTTTGCCACATGCTTCTCACTACCATTAAAGTTTTTGCTTTTATCGCCATTGGAGTTTTCCTGAGGCCAAGGAACATGAGTGCCTTTTAATTGGACTAAGCCACATTTCTTTCAGGGATGCTAAAAAGAAAAAAAATGTGAAAAAAATGTCCATTTTGAGAAATAAACTAGTATTTTCCCAATAAAAACTATATCTATCATATCATACATGTTTGGAACACCTACTTGGTCCTAGGTGGTGTGCTTCCTAAGAAAAGAAAGGCTAAAAAATCCCTGCATTTTAAGTACCTTGTAAGCCTAAGAAAAGAATTTCGTTGTTCAAACATGAGTTAGATGAACACTGATTCATTATAGATTTAACAATCTATAACGTTGGAAAATACTACTCATAATTAGCTAAAACAAAAGAGATTATCAGGTGTTCTACAAATTATTTCTGCTGGATTGGACTTCTTTCTACTGATTAAGCTATTTAAAAACTTTACTGAGGCAGATGTTAACTGATAGATGTTGTCCAAAGAACATGGAAATGAAAATTCTTGTCCAATGGAAAGATAACTCTAGCAGCTTATTTCTCCTTCAGATATTTTCCAGTTCTTCACAGCTCATAGCCTGTATTTCTTATTTTAAGATTCCTTTGTTATAATGCACATATGTAACAGGTATGAACAGAAGGCAGCCCAGACGGGCTCATGAGAATTGTTCAGATTTCAGGAATTCTGAAAGTTGGCTGACTTCATACTGGCAGCTTAGAGTAGCCCTTGATAGGAGTACTCATACTATCAAAATAAGGAGTCACTGTAAGTAAGGGGGTTTTGTTTGTTTGTATGTTTCCTAGAAAGCCAGTTGAATCTGTTTTAATGTTTTATTGATTCTCTAATTAATTGATGGATGACAAGTAAAATGTTAATGTATGATCATGTATGTATGTTAATGTATATCTTTAGAAACAGCCTTGGTTCAAAACCTTATTAAAATTACACTTTAATAGTTGATAACAACTGTCATTCACTACAAGTGATTAGCCACTGGTCAATTATGTGAATCAAGAACTTGTTTTGTAATCATCAGAACACATACAGGGACTATTCAATGAGGATTGCTTTTAAATGACAATCTAAATGGCTACAAGGGATATAGTTCTCAATCAAAGGGAAAGATTATGTAAAATAATATAGTTTCCATATCAATAAATACTCGAAAGTCCTAACTTCACCAACTTGACTTTACACTATAAAGTCTTATTCCCTATTAATGCACAGATTGGTTTTCAGAAAATTACTATTTTCAGTGTATTCCTTAGAATCTCATGTACCAATATAATCAAGTGTCTGAAGATGTAAATTTAAGCCTTCGGTTCTCAGAAGAGAGGTAACTAGCTCTCTTTTAAACAGTTTTGTTGTTCTCTTTAAAAAATGGTCCCCAAAACTGCTTAAGTCAGGTCTTAACCAAGACATTTCACTGTAATCCACCTTTCATTTTTAAGGAGCAGTTTTTAAATATATTTTTGGGTACCTTCAATAATCTTGGAAAACAATCATATATTGGTGGTACTATCCTTAGTTTAGAACAAAGAAATAGACACCCAGAGTTCTTATCTTGGGATGTTCACATTATATGAGGTAATTCTGATGTCATTTGCCTGCAGGACCCTGTAAAAAATAAAGAAAACAGACTAGAAAATGCTTTAAATTACATAATAGAAAATAAGTTTTATCACTATTGAAATGTTTTAAAAACTACAACTAATTACAAACAAATATTTTAGACATAAGACGAAGATTTAACATGTGTATGTATCAATTTCCCATGTAAAATATGTTTATTATGTATCATAACCATATACTAATGAAAAAAGAAAAAAAGAGTCCTAAATTATTTTTCTTTCTGTGCCCATTCAGATAACAATTTCTAATTGCAAATCTGACAAACAAAGAAAACATTGGGTAATGAGGCTTATTTCTTTTGTTTGGATTTCTAATTTGTGGATTTGACATAGAGGAAGTCTTTGGCTCTTGGCAAAGGAATAAATGTTCTTCAATCGTGGGCAATGTAAGGTCCTTGCATGTCTTTATAGTTCAGCCAGTTGGCAGCAATTCTATTTTTTATTATGAGATTTTGCTGATGTTTTCACATCACTAGTCGAATTTCATTTTAAGTCACTATTGTGTTTTTCACTGTGGGATGTTAATTGTGCTTTTGGAAATAACAGGCTAATGAAGCTGAATCATTTCAAAGCATTTCGTCGAGTACAAATGCTTTTGGTAGTTAAGGTAATTCCAGGAAAACTCTTTCATGAAGACTTTGCTGTTTAAAATTATACAAAAGAGGAAGGGAAATAGGCTCAGGGAAGCTATGGTTGACTAAGTTCTCCTTTTAGCTTCACTTTCCCCTGGGGAAGAAAACTGCATTAAAGTCAACTTCAGAGATAGTCTTAAAGAAATAATTGTTATTGGAGTGAATTTATATGAACTTGAATATTAAATAAAATAGAGCATGATAAATCATAAGGACCATTATTCTTTATTTTCTCATTGAAAATGCAAACGACTCAATTTGCATCATGGTTGATTAGATTTTGTCATTTGATAGGCTTCAGAAAAGTTGTGAATAAAATAGGAAATAGATCTCATTGGTTGACCATAGTTTTGTCAAACTTCATGCCCACCTTGTGATTTTCCATTTTTCTCCACCTTGCCTCACTTCGTGGTTTTGCTCTACAAAATCCATAAGAAAGACAGGGTCCGCAGCAAACCACTCAGGACCCTTTCTCTCAGAAAGAAACTTTGTTTCTCTAATAAATATATCCTGCTCTTTTTTAAAAAAGGAAATAAAACCTGCATCTAAATGAAAAACAAAGGCTTCAGAGGCAAATTTCTACTTTCTTTGAAGGTAAGTATCCAAGGTCCAACATGCTCCTGCATCTTTGCCCACTTGACAAGATGAACTTTATTTCTGAGAATGCGCTTCTTAAGTGCTTCCAGTTGGAGAATTCACGGGGGTGATTCTTTGGAGATTGAGAAAGCATGAGAAAAACATCTATCATCTTGGAGCTTAGACTTGTTTCGAGTGTGCTGACTCAATTTCTTGGCATGAAGCAGTATCTGAGCCCCTTACAGTGACTACCTTCCCTCAAATTTTCCTTTAGTTCCCCTTAACTCATGGCCACATGAACATGCTTAATTCCAAAAGAAAGACTTATTTTCAGCAAGACAGCCTGCTACCTAGACAAGAGAAAACAGTTTTTCAGTTCTTTCCTGTAGAGTTTTAGGTCAAGACTTTGGGTTCCAGGTTGCCTTGATTTCCCACATCCTACCCTCATCTTTCATTACTCTGGAACATTCAGATTGATCTGAACATTCAATCTCCAGCATCAGACGTGGAAATTATGAGCTTCCAGAGAATGGTGGTGACATAGGGGAAATAAAACTCACAGTCTTCTAGGTCAGATGTGCCAATTTCATGCCCCCTGAAATCAAATCAAAGAACAAATTCCAAAGGACAAAGGATGTTAAGAATAGGAAAAGTTTATTGAGAAATAAGAATAGATATTGAGACACAGGAGGGGGTCTCAACTGGGTTGCCACAGAGGCCCTTTGTGAGGAATAATTTATACAGCAAAGTCACAATGTGAGTACAAAGTAGATCAAACTGTGATTAAACTATAGTATTAACAGTACAGCTGCTTAGCAAATATTGGTCCAATAGGGAAGGCCATATAGCAAGGGCACATGGAAAAGACAAAGGCATTTTGAAGGGATGGGTCAGGATGTTCTGCTCACCCACATGGATGATGATGTCTATCTGGACTTTACTGGACCAGATGGTAATAATTACAGTGTAATTCTAACTTACTGTTTATTCCTTAAGGAGGCATATAGGCCTGGCCAATACATCTTTATCTTGAGGCCTGGTCCTCTTCTCAAATATTCCTGCAGCCACAATCCTGAAGTTTTCATTTTGTCTGCTGACTTTCTTAATAGCCCAGTCCCTCTCTGACTATATATTAATTTCTATCTAGTTTAACTGACTATAATACTTAGCCAGCTTCATAAGTTCAAATACATATTATATATACACCTGCTAGTGACTGGCCCTGATAAAGTTGTGCCTTCAAAAATATGAGACACCTGAACAGTAGCATAAATAACAATGCATGAGGTTTTTTTGTTTTTTGTTTTTTGTTTTCTTTTTTTCTTTTTACTGGTACCGGGGCTCAAACTCAAGACCGCCTGCTTGCAAGGCAGGTGCTTATGCCGGTGAGCTAAATCCCCAGCCCCAATGCATGAGTTTTAATATAATTTTAAAGCAATATCATATCTTGTAGATATGACTCAATTTTAGAGCACTAGTCCAGCTAGGACAAAGTTTGATATCTAGCACCAGAAAACAAATCATGAGATTTGGTCAACCCACAACAGTGGACTAAATCCACAGTAGAATTCTAACCCCTCCTTTCTCTCCACTGACAAGCTGAAAAAACACACAACTTTCTTAGGGTGGAAGAGAATACCAGTTTATCCAAGATAAGGAAAAAGAAGTCTGGAAAAGTTACCACTTCAACACTTGGACAAAAAGAAGATTTGAAATAATTTGACCATGGTACATATGGTAAAACAAAAAGAAATAGCATGATAGCTATGTAAAAGAGTCAAGAAAGAATATGGTCATAGTTGAAACCTAATTGGAAGCCTGGAAGAAGATTTTTATGATAATCATTTCAGGGTAAAATAAATTAACAGTGGTAAAATTCCATTTGAGAAACGAAATACATATGTTGAGTGAGTAAAACTAACACAAAAATAATGAGTATGAATTCAAGAGTAACAGTATGGAAAATACATATGATATAGTAGACTAATTTTTTTCTGAAATAAAGGAAGAAATTGATCTGACTATTATAAAGGTATTTACAGAAAATACTGATCTAAATTATGAGCACCAGAGTATATCTTAGTCAAGTTCTAAAATAAATATTTAAGCATGTGGATATAAATATTACGGTATCAAGGATTTCAAGGAGGAGACAGCATGAAAGAATCAGAATGACAGAAAGCATCTTCATAGTAGCACTCAAGCCATAAAATGGTACCATAACATCTAAAGTTCTTAGAAGACTGAAGGGTGAACCAGTATTTTAGCAGTCTTGAGTATTATAACAAAAATTAAAAATAATAGAAAATACACTGAATATACAAAGAGTTTTATTTCTAGAGCTTAATAAAAGTACTATTTAAAGAGATGTGAATAGTATTAAAGTAAGCAATACAGAATAATGATTACCTAGGGTTAGCAACAGTGCAACCATTTACTATGTTTAAACTTGACAATAACAATCTACCTAAAGGAAAAGGACCACCTGGTAAGTGATATAATCATAGAAAGATACAGATGCTTTCAAAGCCATAGCATTGCAGAGAAGTGGAGAAGGACAGAGAAACAGGCAACAAACACCCTGTGCTCCTTTTTTTTTTCTACCCCCCATTCTTCTGTTACCTCTGATTGGAAAAATAGAACCAGGAGCCAGAAAGCAAGAGCCTGGAGTATTGCTATTAATCTGGGTAGAGAAAGAAAGAATGAATACTGGGGAGTGAGAAGCAAAAAGAAAATATCTAGAACAACCAAGAATTTTATACCCAATCAACGCATCTTTCAAGTTCCAGAACTAAAAGATTATTTTACCATTAGGCGAATCTGTTAACAACAAAATAACAATTAAAGTAAAACTAATAATTTAAAGATAAAATGCAGACAATAAGGAATTAAATCAAAGTAAACAATTTAGGAAAAAAAACTGGTCAATGCTGTTTGATCAGGTCTGTTGTTTCAGCTTTCCATTGCATTTTTTGATTTACTGCATTCTTCATCTTGGTTTCTATTTCATTCATTTACATGATCTTTACCTCTTGGTTGAATGTCACATTCATAGAAATAAATGTTTTCTTAATTTCATTTAATTGTCTTATCTGTATTATCTTATATCCCATTAAATTTCTTTCATTTTCTTGTACTCATTCTTTTGAGTTCTTCATTGGGAATTTTATCAATACCTTTCGTTGTGGTCTGTTGGTAGAAAAGTCTTGTGTTATACTGAAGATGTCACGCTGCTTTCTTTCCCATACTACTTACTGCTTGAGTTGTTATGCTTAGATCTGTGCTCTGGTGTATCAGTTGTATCTACCACTTTTATAAGGTGATTTCTTTTATCACTTTGCTAAGCAATGTTGACTTAGATTCCAGTTGGGCACTGTAGCATAACCTCCTTATGTCTTCTTTTGCTCTAAACAATGAGTGTGGTGCATACAGTGTTGGGACCAGGGATCCTTCCTATTTCTGGAGTCCATAAAGAAAAAAGAGCACCATAGTCTGAGTGGGTATGGTACACACAGTCATGGAGATTGGGTATCCCCGATGTAACCACTCCAGCAATAGGAACGGTGGTTTGGGAGCTTAGAGAGAAAGCATGGAGTCTTCCCTGAGCAACAGGTGTGGTAGGGATAATGTGTGTGTACTTTCAGGAAAATCAGCAGCATGGACTATGGCCAGGCTACCAGAGCTGTTATCCAGTGAAGGGCAGAAACACTTTCGTAAAAGAGAAAAAATAAACTAACTGCTAGGAAGTTTTAAATCTATATGCTATTTTAGAATTTTGTTAAAGTATAATACACACATAGTGAATAAACAAAGCACAGTTCAATACATTTTCACAAATCCATGGTTCTTTGTAATCAGCATATAAATCAAAATATATTTATTACCTTCATCTTCAAATCACTTCATGACCTCTTTGAACCACCTCTGCCAATTGTAATCACTAATCTAACTTCTAATACACATTGATTTATCTACTTTTGAACTTTATAAAAATGAAAGCATACATCTTTGGATTCCTTGGACCCAAGTAACTCATTAAACATAATGTTTAAAATTATTTTACCTTGTTGGGTATAGTTGCAGAGGTTTTTTTTAGTTCGTATTTCCATATGATATTTTACATCAAGAATTGGCAAGCTATGGCTTTTATTATATAGGACACACAAATACCTAGTGGTGAGTTGGACGTAGTCCCATGTGCCATAGCTTGCTTTTTTTTTACTTGTTGCTGAGACAAAATATCTGAAGCCCAAAGTTGGGAAAGGAAAGGTTTATTTCTTACAGTTTTTGGAGGTTTCAGTCCATGCTCAGTTGGATCCAAGTGAGGGTTGCATGGCTGGACCACAGTTCATGGCAGCTGCAAACAGAAAGGCAGAAACTAGCAAAGAACAAGACCACACCTTCTTCCTGCCCTAACATTACATTCTGGCTCCACCCCTAGGCCAGTGTAGCACTCACACCCCCAATCCAAGTGCTAGACAATGAACCAATCACAATTGCACAATGCAAATGCATGAGGCCTGGGCCAACCAACATAAACCATGACATTACCAAGCCTAATTGCCAACTTGATTGGGTTAGGAGCCGCCTAGAGGATTAGTGAAGCACATTTTTGTGTGTTACAGGGTGAATAATGTAGGTGTAACCTTTAGTAATATAGGTCGTCTCTAGCCTCTTCCTCTCTAGTGCTGGTCCTCTCCTTTGCTTCCCAGCCCCAGTAAAATAAGTAGCTTTGCTATTTCAGGCTGATCTGCCGTTACAGTCCTTCCTTAGAGCCGGCACACTATGGATTGAATCCTCTGAAAGCATGCACCAAATAAATCTGTCTTCCTTTAGACAGTGGGAGTCTGATATCTGGTTCAGGCAATAAAAACCTGACTAATACAAAATCCTACATGTATTTTGTTAGGCTTATATTCCAGTACTTAAATTTCAAGCACCTAAAATGCTCTTGAATTTTTAGTTTCACAGTGCAGATGTTTAGTGCTAATATATAGATACTCAATTGTTTATGTTTATTGTGTATCCTGCAGCATTGCAGGACTTGCTTATTATTTCTAGGATGCTTTGAGGTTTGGGGTTTCTTTTTTGGTATGTCTTTAGATTTCCTACATAGATAAACTGTTGCCCCCTCTTCTATTCTTCAGAAATGAACATCTCTGGTTAGTGTTAAGTACTCATTGAACATTTGGTGTAATTCTCTTCTGAAACTTTGTGAAGATGGAAATTTTTAAGGGGAATTTTGAAATTATGAATTTAATTTCCCTGCTAGTCATAAAGCTATCCAAATTTTTGTGACTTTATTGTTTGTGCTGAGAGGTCTGCTGTGATTCTGAAAGGTTTTCCTTTATAAGTGATCTGTTTTTTCTCTCTGACAGTTTTTAATATTCTATTTTTATTTGGATTTCTGGGGTAGTGATTATTATATGTCTGGGTGTAGTTTCATTTTGGTTATGGCTATTTGGATTTCTATATGCTTCAGTGATCTTGATGTCAGTTTCCATTCTCATGTTTGGGAAATTTTCAGCTATTACTTCTCTAAATGTCCTCTTGACATCCTTATGTTGTCCCTTGCTTTTTCATTTATCCCTATCAATCTTATATTGTTTTTCTTTGCATCATCTTTCACCCCATTGAATTGTTATTTCCTGATTTCTTATTATTTTTAAAGGATCTTTCTTTTCCTGTTCACTAGCTGCAGTCTTTTGTCTTCAAGATATCAAATTCTATCTTTACTTTCATTGAGGCAGTTTTTACAACTTTCAATGGAATTTTTATTTCCTGTATATCTCTTTGCATCTGCTTCATGTATTCTGTTTGCTTCTTTCTTTCTTTCTTTTTTTTTTTTTTTTATTGGTACCAGGGATCAAACTCATGACCACATGCTTGCAAGGTAGGCACTTATGCCACTGAGCTAAATCCCCAGCCCTCTGTATGTTTCTTATATTGTTCATCCAGGGATTCTGTCTTTTAGTTTAGTTCCTCTAATTTTTAAACTGTGTCTTCTTTAGATATGTTCAGCATCTCTTTCATTTCTTTTATCATTTCTTCTTTTACCTGGGAGATTATTTCTAGCTTGAATTCCTTTAAAGCTTCCCGGAGTTGCTTCTTTATTTCAGTTGCTATTATTTCAGGTATTTCAAGTGTGTGGCATATGTTTTCTTCTATGTACATAGCTCCGCAGGTTTCTTGGGATGGGCTGGAGGCTTGAGATTGTATTTTGGTCTTTCGTTTTATCATTTTCCTATATGTCTGTGTTTCAAGTGTTATTCCAAGGCTTCCCCTGGCCCGTTGGAAATTCTCTTCTATGTTCTCAGCTTTTGGGACTCTGGCCGCCCAGTTCCCCTGATTGAGAGAGGGTCACTGGGGATGGGACAGGCAGGTTCAAGCCCTGCTGAGCTGGTCCAATGTGGCAGGAAGCCATAAAGTTCCCTTTCTGGCAGGAGCTAGGATCTTAATCTCCCTCCTGGGGGTCAGAATGGTGGGGAGACACTCACCCCAAGCCGCCCAGTCTCCAGAGTTGAGGGTGCAGGCAGGCAGGCCCAAATCCTGGAGCTGGCCAAGTACAGCTGCCAGAAATTTGGTGCAGGCAGGTCCAAGCCCTCTAAATTTTCTATTTTACATTATGTAGGGAATTGAGGCAATAGCTTTACTTTCACATTAGTTGTCAAATTTATATATGTAAAAACAAGTTTATGCATGTTTATATAATAGGATTCCTATATTACACAGCTATTGCATGTTTTATTCATTGATTGGTTAAATGGTACTTTTCTACTCTTTTTCTTTATCATTTTTATTGTTTTACTTCTGGTAAATACTTCTAAGGATACTGAAAAAATTTTAACAACTTTTTTTAAAAGCAAAAAAACAGTAAGTAAAAATAAAGGTCAACACAAACTTATATTTGATAAGTTTAATTTCCTTTTTGCTAAATCCATAGCAAAAAAGTTAATGTAATAGGACTTCATATCTCTTCCTACATCAACTAATTTATGAAAATTATTCTAGAGAGATTTTGAATTATTTTTAGCCTTATTTCTAAAACAAATGTATTCTTCTGTCAATAAAAATTAGAAAGAATTAAAGAACGTTAACATACAAAGTATAATTAAAATAATTCTGAAAATTTAAAACTTCATGCTGCTAATTCTGTTAGCAAAAGTAAACTATGGATTTATATGCAGTATATGTTTGCATAGTAAACTGAAAAAGTTAAACATATTTAAGCTATTAAACTGAAGCTGATCCTCTAACTACTTTCCCCTCAATTTCTCTGGTAAATTAAGACAACAAAAATTCTTGGTGGTCCTTTCTTTCAATATAGTAATAAATTTCCATCATTATAAATGTTGTTTTCTAAATATTTGGGTCTTTTTCTTCTTGTTGATTTTGGTTTATTTTACTGACATAGTATCTCAAAAGTGAAAAAGTCTGTTTATTTTACAAGATCTCTGTTATTTGAAAGACTTTCAGAATTGAAAGAAGATTTTGCACAATCTGTACTCTTAAAATTATAGAGATTATGTTCCAAATTTTAAATGGAAATGCTTGTTTTGAGAATTGTATATATTCCTGGCCACATTTCTATCATACTTTTTATTATATAATTGGCATTATATACTCCTCGCATTTTATCAGTACAAACTGTTCATTGCCCTATGTAATTAAAGGGGCTGAATTATAAATTTTTGTTTATTTCTTAGGAATCTCTGCCTCAGGAAATTTCAGTGAGCATGCTACGAGGATGGAGCATGTTTTAAAACAGATGAGACTGGGTCAACTTGAGAAACTACTGTAGAAAAGTTTTTAATAATCTCTTTACCTTCATACTTCTATCTTTTCTTATTCCTCCCTAAACACTCATCCACTTTTCCAGCTATGCACTTCTCTTTTCCACAAACAAATATCACATCCACTAACACACACACACACACACACACACACACACAAATGTACTTGTGACCTCATCCATCAACTCACCCCTCACTAATGAAATGCAATATATTAAGCTCAACATGAAAGAATTAGGTAACAATATAGTACTTTCCAAAATATTTAAATTGTAATACAGATGCTAGGAAAGCTATCACTTTGCTTGATTCCTGTTCTACCATCTAACTGTATGTTGATAATAAATTTGATTTGACAAATAAGTACAGAAAGTTTACCTCCCTACATCAGGGGTCATTAAACTTTTTACTGTCTAGGCAGATGATGATTTTTGTAGGATTTAAAAATCATGCAAGCTTTTGTAGGATTTAAAAATCATGAGTAGCTCTGTTACAGCTACTCAACTCGGCCACTGTAGCACCCAAATACATGTAAATATGTAAATAAGTCATAAATGTATGTAAATATGTAAATGAGTATCAATAATTAGTCTTCAATAAAACTTTACTTAAAAAAACAAACTGTGGGTCAGTTAAAGGCCACATACTGTACATTTTCAGCTCTTTGTCTAGACCTTGGTTTTGCCACATCTACCTAGCTATGCTCATTTATTCATTTAGCTAATAAATATATATTAAGCTCTTACTATGTATCTATTACTTGATTATTTCATATTCATAGGTATCTGAAAATCTTTGCGCTATAAGAGCTCAGAGTTGCAAGCAGAAGGTAAGTTTAACTCAATAAGCTAAGTGTAAGTCATCTTGAATTTGCTGTTGTAAATAACAATAAACCTTTTCCAAATTGCTTTAACCAAAAGACAGCATACTGAAGAGATGCCTGGTTCAGGGACCTAGTCAGGATCTATTTCTTGTCTCTACTGTCTTGAGTGGACTTCACTTGCAAACTGTATCTGAGAGTCTCAAGAATTTCAAAGTTTTATCAATATCTCATCATATCACATCAATATCATATCAATATTACTATGAAAACATAGCATGCTGCCATGATAGCTTAAAGTTTTGGATTCAGGCAATTTGACCTTCCTTGCCTATCTGGGTGCACAGTGGAAAGGGGTTGGAGTGTGATAGCCACTCTCTCCATCCCTGGAAACTTTCAAAGCCCCAGAGGCTGAATGAAGAGGAATAGTTCATACACAGTAAAATGTGGCATTATCATGATATACATAGTGCTCAAAATGACCAATATCCACCATCAAGGAAAAATGTAAGAGTGACCCCAATAACCACTAAAACCATTTTCTATTCCTTTGTTAATCTGGATTATTGCTCTCCAGAGTGATTAGAATGTTCATCTGCACATAGTTCACCCACAACATGATCCTCTCCCTATTCTTTATGCTATTTCCCATTGCCAGGGGGTTTGACCTCCCAGATTGTCTCATGGGGAAACGGACTGTCTTTGACTCTTTTTTTCAAGTCTCTTTGATGTACTACACTTGCT